GAGGGGAAGCAGAGGCTCAAGTCCAGCAAGGAGCGTTCGTTGGTCAGACTCGGTCAACCGGAGCGTGAACGGGAATGGGAATGGAAATGCGAACGGAGTGGACGTCCTCAGCCCCCAGCCTCAGCCGGTTAGCGCACCGGCATTTACGACGGGGTTTAACTCTGGAACAAAGATGGACGCCGAGGGTCCGGGGAGCAGTTCTCCCAGTCCGGGGGAGAATGCGAACACCGCCAGCACGATCAGTACGAGCACTGCGCCGCCTTCTGGGGCACGGGTGAGGTTCGACACATCTCAGGCTGTTACACGTTGAGCTTGTTTAATTTCTTGAAACGCTTAGAACTTCAATCTTGTACTGCTGGGACCGGGCACTGGTTGCAACTTCTTCTTTTTGTTTAGTTTATACTCTTATACCTTGAATGTATGCTGTGCACTAGAGCTTTGTGCAACCGTTCAATTTACAATCATGTTATCGAGGTGATGTCCCAAGAGTGCGGTCTGTGAAACGTTCCTCAAACCTGGCTCCGATTGTCTTGCCTGCTTATTACTCTGCTGCATCCCATAGTCAAATACCCAGGGCTAGAGAAGCGAAAACGAAGAAGGGAAATAGAGCCGGCCCTAAACAACCCCTCCTAATCCCAAAAAATGGAGGCCCGTTTCTCCCAGAGTGGGAAAAACAAGCAGGAAAATATTACGCGAGTGCTCTCCCCAAATGAGAGAACAACCAGAATCCGCTCGATAGGTAACCGTGGGGCGCCGTGCAATGTCGACCAGAGACTGGTAACGTCCCGGTCTGGAAGCGGGTACGTTCCCACAAGGTAAGTATGAGGTTGTTGGGATGCGCGGCGTGGGGTATATAAGGGACTTGTGGGTGCACGGACCGGGGCACGGACCGGGGCACGGGCCATGGTTTGTGCGATCACTCGCCAGGTCTGAATGGTGTGACAAAAGGAGAATCCAGCCTTGTATTTGGGGAGAAAAACATCGCCCCAATTGTCAGTCTTCCAGCTAGCTTATTATCAAAGCACATGACGAGGCTTAGGCGCACAGACATATATGTGGCTGTGTCATCTCACAATCACGCTTAGTCATCTGACAATCGTGGGAACTTTGCTTCCCCTTCTCTCCTTCCCCACACTCCCCATTTGGCCGTCTCATCACATCAATTCTCGGATCTCTTGTCAGCCTCTGTAATGCGCTTCGAGATGTTCTGGCAGGTGCTGGGGATTAATGGACAACTGGGAAGGGTGGTGGGGTATAAATAGGAAAAAGAGAGAGGGAGGCTGGCCAGAACATTTCCAAAACGGCTTTCCTTCAAACGGCTAGCAAGTTGCTCAAGCGACTTCACCTGCATCCAACTACAATCATATATTCCCCTCGCACCAACATCAGTAGCACCCCTATGTCATCCCCCAGCGCTCTCGAGATCGTATCTCGCCCTTCAACCGAACGAGGGCACGCGGACCACGGCTGGCTAAAGACATTCCACACCTTCTCCTTCGCGAACTACTACGACCCTTCCCACAGCGGATTCGGGTCCCTCAGGGTGCTGAACGAGGACCGTGTACTGCCAGGAACGGGGTTCGGCACGCACCCGCATTCTGAGTTCGAGATTTTCAGTTATGTCGTCTCGGGCGAACTGGAACAGTGAGTCTCTCATATACGTGTGCTGAACTATACACTGACACATGGTAGTCGGGATTCGATGAGAAATGTCGAAGTACTCAAGAGGGGCGACGTCCAGCTCACTTCCGCTGGTACCGGTATCCGACACAGCGAGAAGACCTTTGGCGCTTCACCAGTTCACTTCCTCCAGATCTGGGCCAAGCCCCGTGTCTCCCGCTTGGTCCCAAAGTACTTCACCCGTCACTTCTCAGACGAGGAGAAGACGGATAAGTGGGTGAAGGTCGTCGCCCCTGTTGAGGCTGAGGGAGTGCTGGACAAGAGGGAAGGGGATGGGCCTGCCCCGGTACAGAGCGGGGTGACGATGTACGCTACTCTTCTCTCTGAGGGAAACAGCCTTGCGCATCGGCTTCCACTCGACGGGCAGGGCAAGACGAGAAAGGTTTACGTGCATGTCGTCCAGACTAGCGGGTATAACGATGGATCCTCTAGCGGAGCACGCGTGAAGCTGAGCGGGGAAGGCAAGGAACTCGAGCTGAGGGAGGGCGATGGAGCTTATATCGCTGGATTACCTGAGCGCGAGCTGATCCTGGAGAACGTCGGCGAGGGGAGGGCAGAGATCGTTTTGTTTGATACTGAGTAGA